TTGGGCAAAAGGAAATATTTGTGTGACATGAATGAAAAAGTTTCAACTGCTCCATTCACCTAAGATGTGAAACAAAGGGCAAACAACCCAGCCCAGGAAAATGACTAGTCCAGAATAAAATTCATCCATCAACAAATACGTGTTAAATGCCTACTCTGTGCCAGGCACATTTAACCTCTCAGGGTCATGTGTAAAAGATCTGTCATTTAGATGGTCTTTTGGCTTCTCTGGGACTCAGTTTCCATATTTATAAAGCGAGAGGGAAGGACTTGTCCAGCTCTGAAGTCAATGATTCCTCCTCTGACTACCTAGAAGCCACTTTCCACTTTATAGCACTGCTCCTCTGATTTTCCATTCAGCCACATGAATGTATGAATACATGAATGAATGAATGAATGAATGAATGAATGAATGAAAAACATTATGAAGCATCTACTTTGTGCCAGGCCCTGAAGATTCAAAGACAAAACCGTAACAGTTCTTGCCCTCAAGGACCTCACAGTACAGCGAAGAGAAATGAGAGGCACAGTCAGAGACAGGCAGGAGGATGTGGGAGGGGAACACTCCACCATATTCATTTTGTCACCAGCAGGTTTGACTGTGGAGAACCAGGGAAAAGCCTGGTATGAATCCATTATGCCCCTCCTATTCATCAAGTATGAATGCATACTCTACTTCATAGTTACAGCGTTTGATACATTTTGCAAAACAGACATATTTATCTTACTAGGTGTGTGACCCTGGGCAAGTCACTTAACCCCAATTTCCTAAAAAAAAAAAACAGACATATTTGTGAGGCAGCTAGGTGGGGTGGTGGGATGGAGTCTGGGACTTGGAATCAAGAAGACCTGAGTTCAAATCACTTACTAGCTGTGCAACCACAGGTAAATCTCTTAATCTCTCTCAGCCTCGGTCTCCTCCTCTGTAAAATGTGGATGATAATATTAGCCCCTACCTCCCCAGGTTACTTTGAGGATCAAATGAGATAACATGTGAAGAACTTCTGTTGTTGTTGTTCAGTCATTTTGTCATGTCCGACTCTTTGAGTTCCCATTTGGAGTTTTCTCAGCAAAGGTACTGGAGTAGTTTGCCATTTGCTTCTCCAGCTCATTTTATAGATGAGGAAACTGAGACAAGTAGAGTGAAGTGACTTGGCCAGGCTCGCAAAGCTAGGCAGTGTCTGAGGCTGAATTCAGACTCAGGAAGATGAGTTTTCCTAACTCCAGGCCTAGCACTCTATCCACTGTGTCACCTATTCTATTATTATATTTGTGTATCAAGTAGACAGCATCACTGAGTATTTCTATTAAGTTAATTTTTTTTGTAGAAAACTAGGATATATTCCTTTAAAAGCAATAGAACATTTTTATTCTAATCATTTTTCATAAACATATTTCAAAATTAACATATTTTTTATTAAAACACTAATGTCCCATGATGACACAGATGTCACTGTATCCTAGGAGTATAGTTTAGAGCTGGAAAGGAGCTTAGAGGTTTGAGACTAATCCTGTCATTTTACAGATAAGGAAACTGAGGCCCAGGGAAGCTAAATAACTTGCCCACATTCATACAGGAGGTGAGCATCAGAGGCAAAATTTGAATCCAGGTCCTCTGTCCCCAGAGTCATCAATCATTCCAGTATACTGAGGAAATCCTGGGTTCTCAAATCCTAAGCCAGCACAGTCCAGGCTCCAGAAGGTTCAACTAAGTGGGGAAAGTTTCAAGACTAGGCACCTTTCAGCCAATGACCTGCCTGGATGACCTTGGAAAGGCTCATCACCAAAGGGTGGACTGCCCAGTGATGACTTCCATGTGTGCTTTGATTATATCAATTCATATCCTTGTGTCATAGACTCAAAGGAGATGAAATACAATTTAACCTTTTCTTAATGACTCAGGGTCTTCAAATGTGCACATCCTTGACTTTGCCCTAAAGGCTAATTAAGGTGTCTAGAGTTCTTGGCTCCTTCACTAAATGATGCTTACTTCTATAATGTGTGTGTGTGTGTGTGTGCACGTGTGTGTATGCACGCATACATGCTTTCATAATTTTTCAGTCTTCTCTTTCACTGTTTGTCAATAGTCACCTCTTGCTGTATCCATGTAACCTCCCTCTGGCATTCATATTCTTCTAGATACAGTAGAATATAAACTCCTTAAGGACAAGAGCCCTTTTATTTTTGTCTTGGTACAAATGACTATGGAATTGAATTGAATTCCCACCACCCTTGTCTCAGACCCTTGTAAGTTATCACTTCTCATTTCTTGTGGCCTGCAAAACCAGATGGCCAAGCACATTGGAAATTGGTCTAGATAAAAGAAAAAAACAGGATAAGACCTTCTGCAATCTCCCATGAGTGAAACACATACACCTTTGTTGTGCCATTCAATTCTGTGTGCATTTATTAGATACCTACTATGTGCCAAAGTGAGGTGCTAGGGACCCAAACACAAAAACTTAAAAACTGTCCTAGCCTCAAGGAGTTTACCTTCTACTAGGAAGCTAGACATCAGCAAACTCAAGACAATTTGAAGAGGAAAAGGGCTCTAACCACTCAGGAACCAGGGAAAGTTTGCCTTAGGATGTATCACTGAAGTTAAACCTTGAAGGAAGGCAACATCTCTCTGGGCTGCTTAGAGGGCTTCTTTCCAATTCCCTCCTAGTTTTCAGCTGTATTCTAGATGGGTGAGGTAGCCAGATAAATTATCCCCTGATAAACAAGGTATCTGGGTACCATAATTAAACTCATTAGTTAATCCTAGAAAATGATGATTGGTATTACTTATTCTTAGTCCCTGTATGCAACAAGTTAATTGGTCCCCATGCCTGTGAATGCAAAGAGTTTTGGATGTAAGAGGACAGAAACAGACATCTAGAAAGTCAAGGATGATAGAGAACATACAGGGAGACAATCAACAGGACGAGCATAAAGAAATAATTCTGGGTGGATACGTGGTCCAGGTCTTCGTAAGGTTTTACATTGGGAGGACTGTCTTGCCTGCCACAGTCTGGGCGGGAGAAAATGCCACAAAAATCTGTCTGAAAAAAATTAATATGTGACCTTATATAACAGGAACCTTCCAGGAGGTGTCTTATTTAATGTGCTTAGAATTTTTTTCTTTGATATAAACATGTGAATGTCATTGAACTTTATGAATACCTAATAAAATGGGTTAGGAGAAGCACTGTATTATCATAGGCTCAACTGACTCCTCTGAATTCTTATCTTCCTTCAAGGCTCAGCCCACATGTCACTTTTTCCATGAAGCCTTTCCCAAATTTCTTCAGTTGTTAATGTATCTGTATCTGTATCTGTATATCTCTTTCTCTCTCTCTCTCTCTTTCTCTCCCTCTCCCTCTCCCTCTCCCTCTCTCCCTCCCTCCCTTCAAAATCCCACCCTCCAATTTCTTTGTGTGCTTATTATAAACCTCCACCCTTCAGCCCCCTGATGGTAATTTCCAAGAAGATGGGATATTTCATTTTTTGGTTTTTATATTCTCCGGCACATAACACTAAGCCTTGCAAATGGGTACTTAATAAATCAAGTAGGAGCTTAATTAATGTTTATGGAATTGAATTGGATATTGTGGAGTGATTTCTAGCCCTTCGATATATCCTGTGCCTGAAGACCTCAGGCAGCTCACAGTGCAGTCTGATGCATGAGACTCTTCCCCAAGGATGTGCACAACAAATAGAAATATAAACACAGATTCACAGGTAATCACATTCCCTCTAGCCACACTTCTTCACAGCAAAGCCTTGACTGGTTCTCTTACTCTCCTTCTTGGTAATAACGGCTAGCTCAGGAAACAACCTTAACATGGGAGAGAGGCTAATGTTCTTGTTAGAGAAAATGGCAGTAATTGCTACCTTGCTGCTTTTGCTTCCTTGTTCTGGAGTTTTAAGCCAAATAATTAAAACTCACTTTTATGCATCACATTACTGCTTACATAGTGTTTTATACAGAGCCCTGTGAAGCAAGAAGGGCAAACATTACTGTGCCCATTTCATGGGTGAGAAAATTGAGACTCAAATACTTGAAGTGGCTTTCACTTGCCCGAGGTTACACAACTATTTTGGCTTGAACTCATGACTTCTGATTCCAAGTCTAGTGGTCTTTCCAGGAATTCCTGCTGAAGAGCAGAGTCCTAAATATTTGTTTCTTCTGAATAACTCAGAGCATAAGTGTAGGATAAAGGGAAAGAAAGTACCCTAAATGCTCTAGAAATATAACTGATTTACAGAAACATTTAAATTGTCAATTTAGATATGGAAAGAACCTCAGAGATCATTTAGTCTAATACTCATTTTATAGAAATGAAGAATCCAAAGCCCAGAAACTTGCCCAAGCAGGATTTGAACTCAGTTCCCCGACTCCATATTCAGATCTCTTTCCACTGTGCCAAATTCTCTGCTCATAACTCTGCTCTGACCATCATTTGCTCTAACTAATTCAAAAAGAAAGCACAATGAAGCATTTTTAAATGCACAACACAAGCTGATAGCATGCTGGGTCTCAGCACTAATATTAAGAAATCATAAAAACTAGGCAAGACAACAACTCTTATGTACTACATATTCTCTTGACAAAATGCAAAGCATCAGGGACTGCTGCTTCCTTCCCAGCTGGATCAGTACAGACACTATTAAAGATCTTAAAATGGTGAGACAAAAGCATGCTTAACTACCCTAATAAACCTGCCTCCTTGCTGAGAAAAGATGAACAGTTAAACAGAAAATGTTGTCCCTTCAGTTGCCTCAGTGCTCCCGGTCTGTTAGGGATTCTCAACAACACACAGCCATGGGCAGAGCCTGGGGGCAAACCTCCTATGCTCATCACTGAAGCAGGTCATCTAGGTCAAGCCCCTTTGCCTAGGAGGTTGGGGGACAGGGAGGAGTGGGACATGTTGATGGAGATAGCTAGGGTGACGTACATATCTATGAGTACAGCCTCTGACTCCAAAAACTTTTACCAATCCTTGTGTTTCTACTTACCTGTCCTTCCTCATGATTCCAAAGTATTCCAAAGTATTTGGCCTCTGCTAACCTTAGATTGGAGCAACCAGCTTTCTTGGTCTAAAACCATCGAGCCCCTAACATATGAGGGCTGTACCACAGGGAAGGTTTGACTTAGAGAGAGCTGACTTCCTGGAAGGAGTAACAGACAAAGTTTTATTTTCCCAGGCCAGATGAAGAGAGGAGCCCAGAATTTGAAAGTGAATCAGATGATCATGTGTTTTCCTGTATGGGTGAGTATGTCAACATGCTTTGTGTGTTATTCATTAACCCTCAAAGTCAGATTCATGCAATGAGAAATGTTGTCTCTGTGCTCTTCAAAATCGCAAACTATCATAAATATCTTTCTTGTAAGTGGCCAAATTCCATGACAAGGGACACCAAATTTTCCCCAGTGGAATTATAAAATGTTAAGAGCTAGAAGAGTCCTGAGAGACTATCTAATTCAAATGTCTTCATTTGATATTAAAAAAATAAATAAATAAGAATGTCCAGGGAAATTAAATGACTTCTCCCTGGTCACATAGCTAGAGGTTGGTAGAGTCAAGAGCAGGACCCTGTCCTCTGGCTTTTATTCCAGAGTATATGATGGGAGCTTTCTCTGTTGTCTCCCAGTGGAGTCCTCTGAAAAGCTCCGAATTATTCACTTTTTTATGCTCTCCAGGGACTTATCACACTATCTTTAGAGTCATAGCATTTCACCAAGACATCATAGCTTTAGATCGGGAAGGGCCCTTAGATATGGCCAAGTACAACCCCCCCAATTTACAGATGAAAAGTCACCCGGCTTATGGAAAGTCATAGAGCTCGTAAGGGAGTCCAGATTTGGACCAGGTCTCCTGATTCAGAATCTGGTGCTCTTTGCAATTCTAAGGCTACCTTGTGAGTGCCTCCTGTTGGGAGGGACAGGAATCACTCCTGTGATTCCAAACAGGGCTTGGGGGAGAGAGGGGGAGGGAATCAAGGGGCATTACTTTCAAGGTGATCTTCCCCCTCTGGCCAGTTGGACTCTTGTGCCCCCTTTCACTCGACTGCCTGCTACTTCCCTTCATCCTTCAAGGACTGACAGACCTATCGTCCCTCTCTCTCCCTGCCCGTCTACTACCACATCCCACCATCCTTTTAGCTCTCTCATCATTCATCTTACTATAGACTGTTTTGGCAAAGGAAATAATTGTGACTTCCAAGCCTTCCTATTAGTCTTTAACTAGTCAGGAAACATCTGGTTTGGGAAGAGGAGGGAGGAAAGAGAATGAACTTTGGAACATTTTTTTTTGCTTTCTAAGTGATCTAAGCTGTGATCTCGCAGGTCCCTCATGGGCCTGCTGTCCTGGGATTCTACTCTGACCCGGAGCCAGAACTTCTTTTCCAGAAACCTGCAAATAAAAGAGATGAGTTCATTGTCCTGCTTTTCTCTTGCTTTTCATCCAACAGGATGAGCTCTTCTATTGAAAGTGATCTCTTTTGGAGAAGAGATCAGAAATTGCTTTTGAAAGGTTCTATTCTTCCCAATTATATCGTTAAAAACTGCATTGTTTCTAAAAAGCCTTTGTTTTTCTTGTGATCTCCACACTTTTCAGCTAACGTCTTTCAACCTTCCTGGGATGAAAGGAGTGCAGGACAATATGGATTTTTTCCCCTGCAAACTTATGAAGAATAAGAAGCAAAGCTCAACAGAAAGTTTGATCCTACAACTGAAACTTAACTCTCGGGTAATGATCCCTCCAGAAGTCAAATAAGCCATTTCCATGGCTCTTCTTTTGGCTCAATAGGATCAATTTCCCCTGCCCAGAAACATGGTCATAATTACATTGCAACATCAGGAGGATGCTTCCCCATTTGGGGGTGTCCAGGCACCTCTCCCACATACATGCACACACGGGCACATCCTAGATACCACCAGTGTCATGAACAAGGTCAGGAGGGAATATAAAGCAGCCTTCTGAATATACAGCAGGGTTTGCAGTTGGTGCCACCCTGCCCTAGGGCCCTCCACATCCTACTTTTCTCCGTGCTGCCTGGGATACAATGGGGACAGTGGACACCAGAGGGTTGGCTGGGTTTCCAAGCCGGATCCAGGCATCTAATGACAATGAGCAATTAGAGCAGATGCTGATAGATCAATGGTGATTGACCCCTCAACCAGTTAAGAATGTCAGCGTACCCCACAAATACTTCTGGAACTCCATTAATAAAAAAAATTTCTATATATGTTTCTGCCCAGGATCACTTAGAAATGCATATTTGATAAAAGGAACCCAAGTTCTTACTAAAATGAGATTTTCAGAATGTTGTACACATATGTGTATACATACATACATACATACATACCTATATACATACATATATATATATATATTATATATATATATATATACACACACACACACATATCTATGGAGACAGAAAGAGAGCTAGATGGAGGGAGGGAAGGAGAAGAATGAAGGAAGGAAGGGAGGCAAAAGGAGAGAGAGAAGAGAGAGAGAGAAACTAAACCTGCGAATTCCCAGTTCCTAATGACAAAACTACCTTAATGCAGAATTGAAAATGTTCTGTAAATTTCAGCCTTACTGTGGCTACTGAGGCAGCTTAACTGATTGTGTTGCTCTTTATTTCTTATACTATATATATTCTTGTGGTTTCAGTACGTACAACAGACCAAAGAGCAAAATCTGTTTGAAAGTAGACATAATCTTATTGTTGATTTTGCCTCGGTCATTCCGCCAGAATGTGTTGGGGTCTGACTTGACCCCATATTATCACAATCACCACAATCACCATCATCACCATCCTCACCATCATCATCATCATCATCATATTTATATGGAACTTTAAGGTTTGCAAAACATTTTACAAATATTATTTTATTTGATCCTCACAACTATCCTGGGAGGTAGCTGCTATTATTATCCCCATTTTACAGTTGAGAAAACTGAGGCAGACAGAGGTTAGGTGACTTGCCCAAGGTCACATTGCCAGTAAATGTCTGAGGCTGGGTTTGAACTCAGGTCTTTCTGACTCCAGGTCCTATCCTCTAGCCATAGTCCACTGCAGGACTATGAATCTTCTCTCTCTCCACTGCAAAGCCATGAAGCCTATCTGTTATCGTACATATTTACATAAGGGCCTTCAAGTTTTCCAGGCAGTTTACAGACATTATCTCTTTTAATCTTCTCAACAATGCTCTAAAGTCACTGTTATTTGCAGCTCTTTGGGATTTCCAGTCCAGCCCTCTACTGCCCTAAATGTCAGGGTGAGATATGCCCGCTCCATACTTTCTTTTCCCTTAAGACACAAAGATGCTTTGGGTCTCTCAAATGTTTCTGGATGTTCCCAATTCCTAGATTTCCTTCCCCCAGCCCAGGAAAAATTCTCACAAATATTTCAGGAAGACAAGGATAACGTAGGCCTAGCTGCCAATAGCTCTGCTCTCCCCGCTTCAGTCCACTACTCCTACAATCCTTTGCCATGAGCATTATTCACTGCTTCTTCACCTCCTATAGGGTCTCTGCTCCCCTGAGTAGCAGCTGTTGGGGCCAATCAAAATGGCTAAAAGGAAAGAACCCTGGCAGGGTAGAGGTGAGGGGGAAGGAAAAGGGAGGGCAGGAGGGGGGATGTGCTTCAAGTCATGGAAAAAGGTAATAAGCAAAATGGCATGCTGGGTCAAGATAAAGGATTCATAAGGGAAAACCAATTCAGAGGGGTGACAATAAATCAGTCAACAAGCATTTATTAACTACCTATTATGTGCCAGATGCTGTGCTAGGTAATGAGAATTTAAAGATGAAAAGTGAAACAATGCCTGCCCTCAAGGAGTTTAGGTTCTATTGGAGGAGATGACAAGTACTTATGTAGGTATATACAAAAAATAATAATAATATAAAGTGATATTTTGTTGGTAAGTCACTATCATGGGGGGGCGGGGCCTGGGGAGGGGTAAGGAAAGGCTCCATGTAGAAAATATTGCTTGAGCTAAGGAAATGAAGGGTTTCAGGTACAAAGGTGAAAAGGAAGTGCATTCAAGGTATGGGGGCAGACAGTTGGAAAGGCACCAAGATGGGCGATAAAGTATCATGCAGGTAGGAGTTCCATCAATCAATAAGCATTTATCAAGGCTTACTCTGTTCCAGGCATTGCACTAGGCACAGAGGATACAAATACCAAGGATAAAATGTATCTTATTCTCTAAACTGTACATTCTAATGAGGGTCATGAAGATCTGCCAACAGTGGGTCAGGAAACACCATGGAAGATGAGCATGAGACATCAGGATAGCACATTGTGAGTTCCAACGTCCCAAGGAAAAAGTGCATTCTTATATAATGGATACTGCCTAGCCATGATCTCATGCAGCCCTCCTGTTAGTCAGTCAGTCAACTAGCATTTATTGAGTACCTACTATGTGCCAGGCATTGCGCTCTAGAGCTTCAAAGAAAGGCAAAAAATAAATAGTCCCTCCTTTCAAGAAGCTCACAGTCCAATGGGTTGCTATTGCTTTGGTTGCTATGGAGCCAAGCACCTTGAAATAATTCTTTGAAAGTGAAAAAGGACATTTGGCAATAAAACCCTCTAAGGATTAAGTAGGAAAGCTGGATTGGAAAGATAATTATTGGGGAAGGCTGTGGGAGAGACACCTCCCCTTGAAGAAAATCAGGAATGAAACTTCTTCTGCTTCTCACCTCAAGTGACCTAGACCTAGACATCAGTTCTTGCCCCCCATCATTCAACCTCATAGAAAATAATGAATAAGCTTAGCAATTTCTACCTTCCAAAGGCTTGATTCTTTCCAGCCTGGAGAGCTGTCCACAACCTCCAGGAGGGAGATGTTACTACTGCCTCCAAAGCTAGAATCCCCAAATCTTAATCTTGGTCTGAATCACCACAGCTTCCCAGCCTTTAGGAGCCCCATGTTCTTTGTGTCTCAGCACCACAAAATTAATTGCGTTTCTTGCTACACTGGTCTTACTTGGCAAGGCAAAGGCAGCTTGAGCTTTTCTTTATTCACCATTCTCAGATCAGCTTCACAAGGGATTGGGTCAGGAAGTGGCCGTTGTCTATGTTCACCAGAACTAGGGCAGAGAAAGTAGGCCAGCTGTCCTGGGAACCAAACCTGGAGAGCTTTCCTTGCCCCAGTAGCAGCCACCTCCCCCAGCATTGTA